TGCCTCTGAGGGGCCCTCTGCCTCCTCAGTGTAACCCAGGCCTCCTGTCCCAGAGAAGCCATACTGGGTTTCTTTCCTGGTCCCAGGGCACAGGCATGGCAGGTGATGATGCAGGGGAATGGTATGGTAGGCAGTGGAAGAGCAGGGTATACCCTTGTGGAGAGAACTAGTGGGGGCTGTGATCTCACCAATCAGGCCTTGCTGATTCCCAGTGATACAGACAAAGTTCTCATCATGGAGCAGCTCAACAACCAAGGTGTTTTACAGTATCTACTGGGACTCTCTGACTGACATAGACAATAAGCCATGTTACTAACACCTAAAGCAGAATGCATAATTCTGTTGACGCATCTGGACATGCAGGAAAGGAATTCTATAGTGAACAAGAACCATTTAAAAATGGTCTGAGGCAGAATGTGGTTCAGTCAGGGAGTTGAAAGCAGGAGGGAACAAGATTATTTCTCAGGTGGTGGATCCAAAACTAAACCACATCTTCAGGACACAAAACAAGATTTCTAACTAGACTCTGGGACAGTGATAGATTAAATAGGGAGCAATTTCAGCAGTGAGAAATTTTCCTGGATTGTTCTACCACTTGATCAGCCCTTCGAAGGGTATAACACAGTTGACAATACAGAGAACTAAGGTATAAACTGTATGGCAATCTGGGGTAGTCTTGAAACAAACTTTTATACTTGAACATGGAGACTGCATATGGGTTATACAGTTTGTGCTCTAGGATAAAGAGAAGCTATAATAAAAAAAATCAGTCCCAAAGGAACTTCAAGGAATAAGGACAGAGTTAGTTGGGAGTAGGTACTGTATTTGACAGTGCTTACTTGGTATTTTGTCTTAGAGTTACAAACTAGAAGATACAAACCCTTAACATTAAGGTAGCCTTAAAGATATTGTGACTTTGTTGTATGTGAATCTTCTAGTCAGTTTCCTTTTCCTTGTTAGAGGTAACAAAACATGGAGCCCTAGAGTAAATGAGGAAACTAAGATATGTATAAAGAAAATCATTTGCAGGCTCTCTGTTCAGGACATCTTTCTGTCCTGCAAGGACTATGAGAATTAGAAATGTTTATTTGGTTCTTGTGTTTGTGTTTTTTAGAAAACTGAATGATCATTAAATGGTTTAAGCTTTATAATAAAGTCACTTGATACTCAAAAAGAAGGTAAGTGGCAAGAATGGAATGACATCCAAAATGACGGGGAGTAATTTGAGGCTAGAAAAGTTATGAATGACCAACAAATAGTGTAAGTTTTATACTAAAATCATTCAGTACTTAAATAATAAAGAAGGTGGCAAGAATGATGGGTTTGTTCAAAGTGACAGGGAACATTGTGAGAGGGATTAATGGCAATGTGTATTTTGTCATACATTTTTTAAAAACATTGAAACATTCACCTATTTTTTGAAATACCATGTACACATCTGCCACTTTCACCCATTTTTCCATTTGCTACAAGTGGAAACAGTTCAGGAAAACTTATGTAATAAAACCTTTAAAGCACAAAATTCCATGCATTACTTTAAACTGAGTAATAAAGTAACTCAAAGTCCAAGTCCAAAAGAATCAGAAAATCACTGCTACAAGATCAGCTTGAAATTGTATATAGCTGGTAATAGAACAGTACTCTACTGATTCTAAGCAAGATACTTTTTTTTTTAACCTTGAAATAAATGTTTGATGTAAAGAAGAGCTTTGCCAGATGGCCAAAAGGTAGTGGCTTCATCTCTAGGAATTAAAAATCACAATTATTTAAAATGCTTTTCTAATTCATATTACATTAAATGAAATGACTTCAGGTTTTCAATGACACATACCCAAGGAGCTACGAAAAGGAATCCAGCTCACAAGCTGAAGGACCTGTGACGGACAACGAATGGCCATCCCAGAAAGGAATGCTCTTGTACAGGAAAGTTTCACAGGAATAAAAGCCCTCGTGAAACAAACAAGTTAACTGCAAAACCTTACATGGAACTTTTCAGTTACAAATGTTCCCTAGACAACCAGTTTAGTCCGTGCTATATCAGTTTTACTGTAAGAATGATTTTTGTCATTGATATAACATAGCCTTGCTTTAGGCTATGTTATAGGCTTTCTCACTGAAAAAGATGAGATAATTACTATTTGGATACATTACCACTTTTATCAATATAGATTTCAGATATCATATAACATCATGAATTGCAAAGAAGGTAAAAACCCAAATAATGGAATATTTTTGGAGATAAATGAAATTTATTATTTTGGAGTACATACAATAACTTGAACATTTAACAAATCATGTGTAGTATTATATAATATGGACAGAATTTTATTAGAGGCTATAGACAAAATCCAAACTGTCCAACTTTACCTAGAGAGGCCCAAGTATTTAGGTTGCTTATGTTTCCACCAGAGAAAGGACCCAGGACTTCTCTTTATCTATTGGAACTGGCATGTACCAAGACTATCTCAGACCTTTTCATGCCAAAAATTCTCTGGACAGTCTCCTCCATAGTAGAGCTAAAGCCACAACCTTTATGGTTTGGCTGGAAAGGATAGTGAGTCATAAGCAATGGACAGCAACAAATTCTTGCTTACATGTTAAGTACCAAACAAACTATGAGTAAGTAGGAAGACAACATTTTTGCATTAAAATGTGTGAAATTCCAAATCTGACTAGTTTCAAAGCAGTTAAGTACCAAGATACGACCATATTCCTTTTTTCAAAGAATGGCATTCTAGCCTTTTAAGCAGGAAATCTAAAAGTTAAACAAGAGTGCTCCCTTATCCTCACTACCATCATTTCCAACTAAATGGTTTCATATCAAATCTCTATTGAACAACAACAAAAAAAAAACATTGACCAAGTGTTTCTTTTGTATGAGGCACCAAGTTAAGCATCTGTACATGAAGAAAAGCTAAGACATCTCTTGTGCCTTCCAGGAACTCAAAATGTATCCACAATCGTACCAATGAATGCTGAAAGTGCTATGACAAGCATAGGGACAGGAAGCAATGGCAGCACACAGAACAATAACCAGCCAAGATGGCATTGGTGCATGAAGGCTTCTTAACAGCACTGTTATCTGAATGGCACCTTAAAGTATAACTCAATGTTACCCCAACCATACAGTCCATTTGCTGGAGCACACAGAATACTAAAAAAATGTCTGTTGCTACTAAAAACACAAATATTAACCTCCTATAATTGATTTTACCGACATAGGAACTGAATGCATTCAATTACATCTTGTTCTCCTAAATTACAGGTCTTTCCCTTTTATCTACATAATTTAAAATATTCATTCTCCAAATCCAATGGTGTAAAGATAAATATCACTCCAACTAAGTTCCATTTAAAATGAGTTACAAATTGAGCAAATACTGTTTAAAAATATATCGGGTCCTAATGAAAAGGTTTTTGATAAACATCTAAATAAACTTTAGTAAAATGTGATGGAGTATGTAGAAAGTAAATGCAATATTACTTGTAAGAAGCACTCTGCTCTGATGATGGTGTCCAAGAAGTTGGTAAATTCTTTTACATGTTCATGATCAATCACCTTATACCAAATACATTTTTGAGTAGAAACAATAAATACAAAAATCTGATTGTACAATTAAAAACTGCACCAAATGTAAATATCACTACTCTGAAGTGACAAATGATAAATTTAAAAACCTACATACATAATTTAAAAACCTCATACATAATAGCCAACTCATAGTATAAATTATAATGAAGATGTGGGGGGGTGATAGGAAGATACATCTCAAGAATATGAGAACACTTTGGAAATCTTATAGTAAAAAATCTCATAAAATTCACATATAATGAATGTGATTATCTTTATTTCACATAATAATCTAAGAGATGATAAATGCATGAATGAAAAGCTTGAGCCTTCCCTGAAATTCAATTAGGGTGAGCAGGACATTATGTACAAGTGGTATGAATTTACTAAATGTGAATCCAATGAATTGTGCATCATGTCCTCTTTGAAGAAAAGACTGCAAAAGGAGAGTTAGCCTAGAACTGACTTAAACTGACTTAAAACACTTGAAAAGTCAGAAGCTGCTGAACCAACAAAGGAATGCTCAGTCTAGTCAACAGAATGTACTATTTTGGAGGAAAAAACGATAAGCCCTTAATATGGCTTACATGAGAGACTTCTCACTGCCCTTTCCTTTAATTCCATACATGAAAATTGTTCTAATGACAAATTTATCTCTCATATATTCTGATAATAGAGAGGAAAATATTCTAGTTGGCAGACATGAACATTTTAGTCATGAGGAAAAGTCATTTCTATTATAAAATAATAAGTTGACATACTGGCTTACACCTGAGTCTCTTCTGAGTTTGGTTAGAATAACCCAATGACTCTTGCAGATGGCAAGTTTCTGGGCACATCAGAAAAAGAGGCCTTGCATTGTGACACTCATCAGAACAGAATCACTCAGTAAGTTTAGGTGGACATTGAATAGTGCTTTCTTAACAACATCACTCCTTTCTTACTGCCTTAAAGTTATAACAGAAGCATTCATGTTACAAATATAAAACTAAAGAGAAATAATTATGGCATAAGAAGACTCTTCTTATGTGGAATTTGGCAATCTTACAAAAGAACCTATTTGTAAACCATCTCTGTCCCATTCTCATTTATCCAATTTTTTTTTTTTTTTTTTTTTTTTTTTTTTTTTTTTGTGCCAGGGATTGAACTCATGACTTCGCGTTTGCTAGGCAGGCACTTAAGTCACTGAGCTAAACCCCCAGCCAGCCAAATGGCCTTTTTTTTCTTTTTTTGGTACCGGGGATTGAACTCATGACCTCATGCTTGCCAGTCAGGCGCTTACACTGCTGAGCTAAATCCTCGGCCCCCAATTTTTTTTTTTTTTTTTTTTTGTTATGGAGGATCGAATTCATAACCCCATGCTTGCAAGGCAGTCGCTTATGTGGCTGAGCTAATACCCTAGCCAATGTTTTTAAGTGTCAGTTCTTACCTTCTTGAAAGTTTTGACTCAACCAGTGGTAGAGGCTCAGTGAGAGTGACTCATCTCTGACATAGTTCGTATAGTGAAGTAGCAGAGAGTTGTTTAACACTGAGCCTGAGAGGGCAGCTGTAAAGATGGAACAATCAGTTAACAGTAAGTATATGAAAAGTAGGTGATGGCACAGAGGAAATCATCACATAGGAAATATGCAACAAAAATAAAAGTCATAAAGAAGATGCACATAAGTACATAGTACAGCCACATAACTCTAAACAATGAATGTTTTGTAAGAGTATTGGAAAGCTCTGAAGCTGTTCCAGTGGAAATGATCTGTTGTAACTGAGAAAATCAGAAAGACTCATCTTTTTTCCATATCCTTTAGTGTAGCTACTAGACTTTAGCGCTGGTAGAACTGAGTGAGAATTCCATTTCTAAAAAAAATAAGAGTACATACCAATGAACTAAAAAGACTGCAAACTATAAACACAAAAGCAGCTGCTGCCAGGAGCAATAACACATGCCTGTAATTCCAATTACTGAGGAGGCTGAGAGAAAAGGATCACATGTTCAAGGCCAGGTTTGAAAACTTAGTGAGACTGTGTTTCAAAATCAAATTTAAAAACAGTAGGGATACAGTTCAATGCTATAGCACTTGCCTAGGAAAGATGAGGCTCTGGGTTTGCTCTCCAGCACTGCAACAAAGAAACAAAAGTAATAACAACAGCAACAAATAGTTGTTAAGGCATTTCAATTAATGGAATCTGAGAACAGTTTGTATAAAATCCTGAAAATTCAAAATATATTTAAATATCTAAAGTCTCCTCCAAGATTTGAATTATTATCTGGATATTATAAAAGAAAGCCACAGAAGTCATTTGAGGCTTTAGATGCTTATTCTTTTTAGAGGACATAAGTCAGCAGGAATGAATGTCATTTTCAGAGGTTCGGCAAAAGGTCTATAGTTCCTGAGTCTCACTGCAACCACAGCTGAATCCCAAAAATCTTTTAAATTCTTAAAGTAGATATATAAATTTGAGTGTAAAGTGTAAGGAAGTAAATACCCATAAGTAAGAAAAACATGAAGTAAGAAAGCCTTTAGTATTTGAAGAAACATCCATTATGAAATCCTTTATGCCCATTCAAATAATTTACTATAGTTAATTCCTAATCAGCAATCTATAGAATGTACTAAACAGGATCAATACGAAGAACCAACAACTAATAATACTTCCTCCAAACAGTGTCACAATACTGGATCTTTAAAGAGCAGGCTGTAAATATTTTAGTATTAATCTATAAATTAACTTTATCAGATATATTTCAATCTCAATATAACCTATCTCTCCATGACCCCTTACCTTCTTCCTTCTGGGCAGACACAGAAATCAAAGCAGGAGCAAAAACACACCATGACAACAAAGCCTGGAGATGAGGTTGCGTTCCCTGAAATAAAGTAGAATTTTCCATTTTTGATCATATGGTCAATGAGAAACTAAGGATACAAATATCGTGAAGAAGAAAAAAGTAACAATAAACAGACTAATATAGACTATATGCAATGGCAAAAATGTACTTGTTCTTGATTCAGACATCAAGAAGATAGGCCCAAAAAAGGAAAACAAGAAAACAGAGCAGACAAAATATTAATATAGTACCTGGCCATCATAAATCCTAGAAAATCAACTGAGAATCTTAAAATTAATATGCAATAGTCGAACAGCTTCCTACAACTAGGCAAGTCTTAAGGAAAACACTAACTTCAAAATGAAGTCATTACTTCTAGATATGTTTGATATAGCTGACTATCCAGAGAAAGCATACTGCTGAAATGAATTCCAAGACAGCAACCACATTGTTTCATTAGATTAAAATTCTGTTGACTTTAATACTATACAAATAAGGAAGAAAACAATGCTTACAAATAGAGTATAGTATGCATAGTTTAATGACATAGATATGTTATGAAAAATGCATTGTTAGGTGACTTTGCCATTGTGTGAACATCATGGAATATGCATATACAAACCTAGATGGCATATCCTTCTATGCATAGAGGCTGTCTGAAACATACTGCCCACTGTTAACTAAAAAGTTGTCTGTGCATGACTATTCCTACTTTATAGCAGCTTCTTAAATTTTAATGTTTTTATTTTTGTTAACACATATACATACTGAGTTCAGTATGATACTTACATACGAGCATACACTCTGCATTGATTAAATCTAATCTCCCTTTATCCACTCCCTGCCATATCTTTCCCAATCTTTATTATTCAGTATTCCATATTCGGTTTACATTTTTTAACTTTCACATTTAACAATATGTGGTACTTGTCATACTGGTTGATACACTGTGTTAACTTGAGAAATCTAGAAGTTTACCTAAGTAACTCAGCAGTTCTATATCCTAGGGTATAAAGGACATACCCATACTGCTCTAGGATACTGTTCGTGGTGTAAACTTGAGAAGGTCAGAAGTTTAACTGATTCAGCAGGCAGTCATGGTCCTCAGTTTGTAAACATCCTTAAAGTATGCATGAGGAGGGCACAGAAATGATGCTATACCCACAAAGGTGGGTAACCTGCATACAATATAAAGGGAGAAAAAAGAGGCTTGCTCTTCTGCTTTTTGCTCTTGTTGCTTTTGCTGTCTTCTGTCACCTTGAACTGTTGCCCTTCACCATGCCATCTTGCCTTGGAGTCAGCTGATTACAGACTGAAACCTCCACAAACTGTAAGCTAAATAAACCTTTCCTTCCTTAATTTTTGGTGTTGTGTATACTGTCTCAGCAACAAGAGAAAAGTAACCAAGACATTGTCTTTTTGTGTATCACTTACCTCACAACACAATATTCTCTAGTTTTGTCTATTTTGCTGCAAATGACAGCATTACATTATGTTTCATGGTTTATATACCGTATTTTCTTTATTCATCCATTGATAAGTACCAAGGCTGATTTCATGTCTTGTCTTATATTATGATGCTACAATAAACATGGGTGTGCAGATGTCTACTTATTGGGCTGATTTCATTTCCTTTGGATATGCTGTATGCCCAAAAGTGGGATAGCTGGATCAGATAGCAGTTCTACATTTAGTTTTTTAAAGAACTTCCAAACAAAATAAAACAGAATAAAGCCAATCAAAACAAACAGTGAAAGTGATACAGGACTTCAAAACAGGGTAATAGGAAATCGACGGTAATAGGAAATAGGCTACCATAATAGAACTTCCATATTGTTTTCCATAATGGCTATGCCAATTTACATTCTTACCAACAGCATTTTCTACAAGTCTCTACAACTGTGTTATTTTGGGGATTTTTAAAATAATAGTCATTTTAACTGGGATAAGATGATACTTCACTGTAGTTTTGATTTCTATTTCAGATAGCTAACGTTATTTAACATTTTTCACATATTTGTTGGCCATTTACAATTGAAACTAAACTTATTAAAACAAAACCAAAATGACAGTTGTGATCTTGAAAATATCTGCTGAGTCAAGGCTACAAAGAAATTGCAGACTGCAACCAGAGAAACTGAGAGTCAGCAACACATACCCACCCACAGACAAACCTTTCCCCCATCATGCTCCCAAACACAAAACACTGTATTACTGCCACATCTTACCTACTACCAATCACTTAGTGTCAGCAAGGAAAGCTGAAAACTCTGAGGAAAGAGGGGCTGAACATCAAAATTGTGGGTGGTGCCAAGCCACTAGAATGGAGCCACAGACCCCATCCCTGGAAACACAGGAAAGGGGATAGACTCAATGACGACAGACCAGAGTGCGCAATTCCCTACTGTTTCCCCAAACAATGGAAAGAGCGAGGACAGTGAAATCCTGCCCACTGTCCCATGTGGGCAAAGGAGGCTGTCTGCCATGCCTAGAGATTGCACCAGGTTTCATACATTGGCAAGATGAGTTCTTGAGCCATGAACAAGAAACAGTTACCCTTGAAAGTGAAGGAACAGAAATAATTGCCTGGGGCAGAGAGCTTCTGGTGATATACTGGACAGAAGGTGCCTAGTGGGAGTCTATGAAGATTTATCTTGCAGGTAGGGGAGGAGAAGTGGGAGGACAGGTGCTGTGCAAACTGTATAATTTCCTGTTCTTCCCAAATTAGTTGAGGTGGTCAGATCCTAGGAAAGAGACAAGGTCTACAGTTGGCCATACCCCGAAACATGGCTTGAAACTAGAGACAAGTCCACAAAGACTGACAAAAACCTCACCATACCTAGGCAGGCAGTTAAGCACATCACAGAGAGGAAACCACCTTGGCTGCCAGCAATCTGACTATAATTACAGCATGAAGGTTGTAATTTAGACACTCGTTATATGCAACTGTGTCCAATCCAACTGAACTGAATAGGTCAACTGGTGGACAATATTTCTTGACAAATAAAACCAAAATCACAGCACTGGAAACCAGAACCTAACTCAACAGATCTTCATGTCAACAATAGTCTCTTCACTCTATTTGACTTCAACCTTTAGCCCAAACCAAACCAAATCAAATCATATCATGAAAATCCAAGGCAACAATTGAGAAAATTCCTTTAAAGACATCCAATTCTCCCAGCGCAGATCCAAGGGGCACCAATTTAGTGTCAAACACAAAATAGCCAAGCTTTACAAAATGTTAAAAGAGGAAGCAAAGAAACATGACAAGTCCAAGGTTAACCTAACTAAACAGGTCAGTGAAATTAACAAACAAACTGACCAATGAACTTATACAAAAGTCAAATAAAAATGGAAGCGCTAACTAAAACCATCTAAAACATGATTAATAAGTTTCCAATAAAAAGGTACCAAACAGAAATTCTGTAGATAAAAAAATTCTATTGAAAACATGAACACCAGAAATAACTAATATAAGGAGAAAGAATCAAAACTTGAGGACAGATAAGTAGAACATGATCTACTCAGAAAAACCTTAAAAGGAAGGAGAAAAGGAAATTGATCCAATAGTTACTAGATGACACTAAGAAGACTAATCTACGACAAGCTTGAGTTAGAGAAAAATTAGAGGGTAGCATCCATGGACTAAAAAATCTCTACAGAAGTAACAGCAGAAAATGTTCCAAGTATGGGGAAATAACTCAACATATAGAACCCAAATAATTACAAGGACTTACGTACATCCTCATGACACATCATAATCAGAATCCCAGAAGTCCAACACAAGGACAAAATCTTAAAATATATGAGAGAAAACCAATAAATCCCTTATAAAGAACAACCCTTGGGGATTGCAGCAGATTTGAAAACTTAAACTTTAACAGCCTAGATCACCTGTAGTGAAGTGTTTCAAGCCCCAAAAGAAAATGTTCAACCTAGACTATTATACCTTTGAGACTCTGAAAACTGATGGAGAAATAAGGATAATCTACAACACAGAACACCTTCAGAAATTATAACAACCAAATGAACACTCCAAATTAGTTTCAAGAATATCCTAGACAGAGACAATAATGTCAAGAATGCAAAAAAGACAGATAGAATGAATACACTAAGTAGGGTAAGCAGATAAACAATAAAGGAATCAAAAACTGGAAAATATTACAAGGATAATAAGAATAATTTTCAGAAATAACTGTGTATATGGCCTCAACTTGCTAATTATTATTATTCTTTTGAAGACAGACTTGCTACAGAGTTCAGAGTAGCCTCAAATTCACTATGTAGCTCAGGGTGGCTTTAAACTCACAGTGATCCTCCTGCCTCAACCTTCTGAGTACTGAGATTATAGGTGGGCATCATCATACCCAGTTCAACTTCCTAATTAAAAGACACTGATTGGAAGACTCAATCAAATAACAAAACCCAATGGTTAGGTGCATCCAAAAGACATCTAATTTAATCTAATCCAAAAATAAATTCATATATTAAAAAACCGAAGGAGGAAAAACAATATTCCATGCATCGAGACTCTAAAAGCAAGCTGTGGTAGCAATCTTATTCTCAGACAAAATGGACTTCAAGTTAAAAATGATTAGAAGAGACAAAAAAGATCACTACATATTAGTTGAGAAAACAATTCAATAAGAAAACATAAAAACAGTAAATATACATGCACCAGATAAAGCACATCTAACTTCGTAAAACAAACACTAGTACAAAAATTAAATAAACATGAATACAATCATAGTAGGGGACCTCAATAGCCAACTTTCACAAATAGTTCAAAAAGATCTTTTCTAATGCTTAAATCCTAGTGTGTCAGTAGCAAGGTTTATTTCCTGTGTTAATTAACTTTATGTGTTGATATTTTCGGTTCATGGGGTACTCTGATAATTGGTCAAACATTATTCTGAGTGCTTATTTTAGTTTTCTCATTGCTGAGACCAAAAACCCAACACTCGAAGTTAAAGGAAGAAAGTTTTATTTAGATCATAGTTTATGGAGGTTTCAGTGCATAACATACTAGCTCCAAG